TTTTTTTTTTTTTTTTTTTCTTTACTTGTTCCCTGTACTTTCCCCCATTCTTTATCCACTGATAGTATTTTCTAGGGCCTACAGAGATAGCTCTGGATTCCGTCCACACCCAGGACCATGTGGAATAAATGCTGATGGGACCATGGTGTTGGATTGCCCTCTGAAGGAGTAGGCCTGCTTGTGGAAGACCACGTAGCTTCCAGTGAAATGTTTCCCGAGATTCCACTGTTTCCCATTGTGACAATTTTTCTGCTTCCAAAATTACCCCCTAAATAAATAGGAAAGTCTCTCCCCAGTGCCTATGAAAATAGTGCTTCACAGTATGGGAGGGCAAGCAGTTAATTTTGAAGATACTTCTCACCATTTTCCTCCATAAGGCACTGTGGTTCCTGGTATACAGAAGCCTGGATGTTCTGACATCAGTTGTCGCATCAGCTTTTAGAGGTTTTACAAGTTAGGCTAGAAACTGTTGTATTTAAAATAAAATGTGCTCAGTTAAGTTAAGGGCCAAGGACAGGCATCTTAGGTGGAGAGTTCTTGACTGTGGTGAGTCCCAGGTCAGTAATACAAGTGGTCTGTTACCCAGGAAGATTGTAATTGTTTCCCTTCCACCTTCAGAGTACCTTGTAGAGCTGAGGGAATATGGGCCTGTGTACTCCACGTGGAGCGCTCTAGAAGGGGAGCTCGCGGAGCCCCTGGAGGGTGTGTCAGCTTGCGTTGGGAATTGCTCTACAGCCTTGGAGGAGCTGACAGATGACATGACCGAAGACTTCCTTCCTGTGCTCAGGGAATACATTTTATACTCTGACTCCATGAAGGTAAGCTGATTACTGCTGCTGCTGCTGCTTCTCCTCCTCCTCCTCCTCCTCCTCTCCCCTCCCCTTCTCCTTCCACCCTCCCCCTCTCCCTCTACTTCCTCTTCCTTTTTTTTTGTGTGTGTGTCAGGGATCGAGCTCAGGACTTTGTGCCTCCCGGGCAGGTTCTTATGCCACCGAGCTGTCTCCCTAGCCCTGCTTCTTCTGCACTAGGTACTTTCTTTTTAATAGTCATTGTGTGGTGGCTCATGACTAATCCCAGCACTCAGCAGGCTGAGGCAGGAAGATCACCACATGAGGTCAGCCTGTGCTACATATTGATCCTCAAAACAGTAATGGATTAGTACTTTTACACATAGTACATGTTTTCTTCTTCTTAAGTGGGAAGAATCAGACAGACATCATGGGCATAGAAATAGAGCATATGTGAATGAAGTATGTGTATTTTTGTTTTTTTCCAGTACGGAGCTCGAACTTGGGACCTTGTGCTTGCCAGGCAGATGCTTATGCCCCTGAGCTATATCCCCCAAGTATAAGAATCAAGTGAAAAAAAAGTAGTTTGGGAGTTCTTATTAATGTTTTCTGAGACTTCAAGAAAATATAATGTGCTAAATAAGAACAGGATGTTGTGGAAAAAGCATAGTTAAGATAATCAGAGTGCATGGAAGCCAAAATTAGATTGTTGAAATAAAATTGAATGCTAAAGTTGTTGAAGATGAAATCTTAAAAAATAAGATCAAAAAAAGTTGAAAAATAAAACAAAGGTGCAGAAATGCCAAAAGGACAAAAGAAAGGGAAGAGACATGGGAGATTAAACCAAAAGTACAGCCTCTGACTGGGAAGAGTTCCCGATTGAGAAAATAGGGATAATTGAGAGAAGGAAATTATGAAAGAAATAATACTAGATCTCCCAAAGCTCAAGACACAAAGCTGAAGCTGACTTCATATTAAAAAGACAGGCTTAGGGGCCAGGGAGATGGCTCAGTAGAATAAGTGCTTCCCTGGCAAATGCAAGGGCCTGAGTTCAATCCCTGGTTCTGACCAAAAAAAAAAAAAATGCTGTTTTCCAGAAAAAGGAATGAAAAAGACAATCAACCCAAAGCATATTATTGTTATTTAAAATTTTTTTTAGTGTATTTTGTACAGGCTCTCACTACGCAGCTTGAAGTCATAGTGATCCTCTTGTTTCAGCCTCCCCAACTCTGGGATTACAGGTGTGTGCCTCCACACCTAGACTCAGTGGCGAGCTCAGTGCACTGGAGGGTAAAGCTAGTAGCACAGCATGTGGTGTTGGGAATCCCAGTCCCTGCACTTGCCTAAGCAGGTGCTTAGTCCGCTGAGCTATCTTGCCGGTATATTACTGTGAAATTTCAAAGCAAAAGTGTTATGATTTTGAAAGCTTTGAAGGAAGAGGGAGGTATTGTATAAAAGGAATAAGATTCAGAATGGCAGTAGTGGATGAGAAGAGACACAGGAAACCATGAGAACAAAATAGTTTTACCTCAAACTTACCTGCAGAGTCAAGGTGAAAAGCAGGATGTGATGCTTTAACATGCGCTGCAGGAACTTGCTGGATCTACAGGCTGATTAAGAGCAGTTTGAGGCTGGTGAGATAGCTCAATGGTCTAAGCACCTGCCTGGAAAGTGCAGGGACCTGGGATTGATCCCTTGTACCACATGCCATGCCGGCCCTGTGCCATGTTGGCCACAGAAGCTGGGTGTGATGGTGCACACCTGTAATCCCAGCCCTGGGGAGGCTGAGACAGGAGGATCATTATGAGTCCAAGCTGTGTAGTGAAACCCTGTACCAAATAAATAAAGATTTTAAAAATTTAAATAAAAGAAAGAACAGCTTGAGGGGGCTTATGATGGTGTTAGAGAAAAGGCTCATTTTCCTGACAACAGACAAGGAACATCCCTGCCTGCAGTTACCCCTTTCCTGCTTCTTGTGAACTCTGATTTGTCAGTCTGTCTTTGGGCAGGTGTAGTACAACTGAATGGGAAAGACTTGTAGGAACCAGGTGTGATGGCATATGCCTGCAATCCTAGCACTTGGGAGGCTGAAGCAAGAGGCTCACCTCTAGCTGAGGCCAGCCTGGGCCACATAGTAAGCTGAAATCAACTTGGACTACACAGTGAGGCCCAGTCTCCAACCAAACTGAACTGAACCAAAGCAGACCAATCCAAATCTAGCAAGAAACCTGTCAATTCATACTGGGTTGTAAAACTAGGAAAGGAGAAAAAAATCATAGAACTATAGAAACATTCTACAGCTTCATGGGGGGGGGGAGATGAATTAAGTAGTAATAAAAACTTTTTAAAAACTATTTTATGGCCATTTTCAAGCATACACAAGAGCAGAGAGGGATAGTGTGACATCACCTGTCCCTGCCATCCTCACTCTTCCTCGCTTGTCAGCTTTGTGTTTGCTGTGGCTCTTGGTGCATACTAAGGTGGTGATGGTGGACAGTGGGGCCTGCTCAGGTATCATCACATATGCCCTATAAAGCCACTAATAAAATACTTCTGAAGAGAAGGTTTTTTCTGGATCTCACAGTGATTAGGAGGATGGTATGAATCTCCTTATCTATAGGGCAGAATGGAAATGGTGACAGGAAAAGCTCAGAGGTGCAGTCTTAGGCCTGAGGTAGCTTTATTGGTGATTATTGGAATTGAGGCTAAAAACAAAAACTTGGGACTCCGAATTTGAAGCTCACTTTCCTCTATCACACTGTCTTTAAAGAACACTGAGGGCCAGGGAGATGACTCAGCAGTGTAAGTGCCTGGCTGGCAAGCACAAAGACCTGGTTCCATCCCCGGTACCACATGTCCTGCCAGCCCCACCCTGTGCTGAGCCGGCCTGAAACTGGGTGTCCCAAAACCAGATGTGGTAGTACATGCCTTTTATCCCAGTGCTGGGGAGGTTGAAAACAGGAGGATCACTAAGAGTCCGAGCTGCATAGTGAGACCCTGTACCAAATACATAAATTAAACAAATCAAAACAAAACAAAACACTGAGGTATACACATTGCATTTTAAAGCCTGTGCCTGAAACAAGTGTTGGAAGCATTCTGACTTGCTTAAAATAAGCCAAAATATTTTGTTTCAATAATGAAATTAATGGCATCTGCTATTAATAAAAAAATAAGTGTTTACAGTCCCTGGGACATCCCTGGATTTGTCTTGTATATAGACACAACCTTCATCAATGTGTTTTCTAGCCTTGTTTGGACTAAAAGTCCAATGCATATACAGTGTTTGGATATTATAATATAAATTACTTGTTCTAGCATGTGGCAACTGGGTTAGTAGTATTCATTTTTAATTGAACCAGAGTTTTACGTTTTTATTTAGGAAAGATTTATCTGGCATCTCTATTAAAACATTATTAAATGGTGAGATAAACATTATAGCTTGTGTTTAGATGATCCCCCACCCCCACCCCACCCCAGAGCTTTGTGTGGCCATAGGTGGGGCCCTTTCAGAGGTGGCTGGATCTAGCATGTGTGACACTAGGATTGCTTCACGGTGCAGTGCAGCACTCAGGGAGCTAGGAATAATGGTGTGAGTGCTATCTGCCCCAAGTAGCCCAGATCAGATATAGGGGCTAGACAGAGCTGTTGTTGCCCTTTGTTGTTTTGCTTTCTTCTGCCAACCATATACTGTTTCTCCTCTGTGATGCTACCCAGTCTTGAAACCAGCTGTTTATGGACCGAAACCTCTGCAAACCATGAGCCTTTCCTCCTTTAACTGTGGGTGTCAGATATTTTATGTGAGCAATGAGAAAAGTAAGACCACAATTTATTGAGTAATTAAAGTTGTGCATCCAAGAAACAGTTGTTTGTTCTCTTTTTTTAATTTCATGTGTGAGGTGTGTGTACTGGTTACTTTGTTTACTGAGTCTGAAAAAGATGCAGTCAGGTTCCTGAGGCTGGGAGAAGGGGATCACAGTATGGCCGAGTGAAGTAGAATTGTTGACCCGTAGCCTGTGCTGCCCAAGACACATCCCACAGCAAGCCAAGCTAGATGCAATTGGTAAGAACAGAGGCCACCTAGTGTCCCTCTTTGCAACAAGAAAATGTTTCTGCACAGTGCTCTGGGAGGGGCCCAACTGACTGCATGGCAAAACCAAGACTGGATGGAGGATTGCCAGGGTTTGTGTGGCTAAGCCAGACATTGGGACAGTGACAGTGTCTGCAGAGGCTCTCCTACCTTTTAACATTGCTGCCCTTTAAAAATTCATAATATTTTATTCCTCTAAAAGAATCACATGGTTTGATTTTCAAAGTAATTTTATTATATTTTCAACATGACTTAGCTATTCATTATGGAAAGTGACATTACAAGAGAGGCCATGCCAATACCCTGGTGTGATATTCCTCCTCATCAGTGGTCAGATGGACTTTAGAACTGAGAAAATCTTGGTGGTGTTTTGGAGGAGAGTTGGGTAGGTGATGTTTTGTCACTCTTCTCCTTTGTCTTGGCCTTGGGTAAATCAAGGTCAGACCTTACCCTTCTCATTTGGAGGCAGCAGCTTCTGCCTTTGGAATTTCCCTAGTTGGTCCATCCTGGGAGGGAACAGTGCTGACACTCCTTGAAGCCCTTTCCTAATGGGGCTGTCGTTGGGGTTCCTCTAAGTGTGAGAGGACCTTTGGGATCATTTTGTTTAATTTGCTCAGGTGATAAAGAAACAGGAATCTGTAGGTAAACCTGACCCGTGCCCTCAGACAATATTCCCTAGAGACTCGTCACCCAAGAGCTATGTGTTTACTACTTGCCAGGGAAATCTGGGTGATCTCTGATTTTTCAAGGCTGGCCTCAAATTGTGTCTCTAAGGACAATTGCGGTTGGGTACATTCTGTTTCCCTTGAAGGTAGAGAGAGAGAACAAAGGGAGAGTACGGTCATTATCAGACCACATGGAACAAATGGGGTAGTGAGAGTTTCAGGCAGTGAACGTTCAGAACAGTTTGTACAAGAAAAGTGGTTGAAGGCTTGTAGTT